AGCAGCATATAGATGGGTCTTGCTTTTTTATCCATTCTATTACTCTATGTCTTTTGATTGGTGCATTAAGTCCATTTACATTTAGGGTGACTATTGAGAGATATGTACTTATTGCCATTAGAGGGATTATCTATTGTTTTCATAGTTTTTGCCAAGGTCACACTGGGCTCACTTGAGTGCAACTGTACTCACCTTACATTATTCTGTTCTCACTTTAATTAAAGGGTTATCTGGAGGTCTCCTAACAAGTGATTGTTTCTCTTGCCCCCTTCCCCTTCCTGATATGTTCAGCTTTAATGAGATACAATTCACATACAATGCAATTGAGTGTGTTAAAATGTACAGTTCATTGGTTTTCAGTGTATTCACAGAGTTGTGGAACCATCACCACAGTCAGTTTTAGAACATCTTCATATCTTCAAAGAAAACTCCATACTCATTAGCAGTCACTCCCCAGTTCTCCCTAACCAACCACCATGCCACTGCCAGTTGCTAATCTGCTCTCTGTCTCTGTGGATTTGCCCCTTCTGAACTTTTCATTTCAGTGCAATCATGTAATATGTGCCCCATTATGACTGGCTTCTTTCACTTAGCATGATGGTTTTCAGGTTCATCCCTGTTGTAGAATGTACTAATATTTCCTTTTTTTTTTTTTTTGCCAACTCATATTCCACGTTATGGATATGCCACATTTTATTTATCTTTTCAGCAGTTGATGGACATTTGGGTTTCCACTTTGTTTTCTATTATGGGTCATGCTGCTATGAACATTTATGCACCAGTTTTTGTGTGAACAAATGTTTTCATTTCTCTTGGGTGCACACACACACACACAAGAATCAAATTGGTAAATGATATAGCAACTCTATATTTAGCTTTTTGAGAAGCTGCCAGCCTGTTTTCCAAGTGGCTGCACCATTTTACACTTCCACCCATAGTGAATGAGGGTTCTAATTTCTCCACACCCTCACCAATGCTTGTTACTATCTGCCTCTTTGATTACAACCATCCTAGTGGGTGTGAAGTGATATCTCACTGTGGTTTTGATTTGTATTTCCCTGATGACTAATGATGTTGAGCATCTTTTCATGTGCTTATTGGCCATTTATCTATCTTCTTTGTAGTAATGTTCAGATCTTTGTCTAATTGAGTCATTTGTCTTCCTTTCTATTCTTTTAATGTGGCCTGATTAGGATGCTGATATGCTAGCTGGTGATGAGCAAGTATGGAAGGAAGTTCAAGAATCCCTGAAAAAAATTGAAGAATTGAAGGCACAATGGAGTATCCTTTTACTTGTGGATTGTGTTGGGATGGCTTCCTTTTTGGTTGGAGCCTGGCGTTTACACAGGTCCAGGGTTTGAAGTCTTCAAGAGCCAGTGAGCTTCATTCTGTTCCACGGCCACAGGCTGATCCCTGACCCCAGCCAACAGTGTGGGGACTGGCTAGGGCAGACTGTGGCCAGAGCAGCATGTGTACCTCACCACCATTAGGTAGAATGAGAATCATGGCCAGTAAATAGTAGGACAGGAGGAAGTAATCTCTTTAGATGTACAAGGTAACACATTTCTGGATCCCCTTCCTTCCATACCCTACATATCAAGGAAAAAATAGCTTAGAATCCTTATATTTTAACATCATTGACCTTCAAATCTAGAAGCTTCCTATCAAATCAACCATGATTACGGGGTCCCTGAGGGTTACTGCAAAATAAATTTTCTTGACATGAAGAGTAGGGACCAAGAGTGGGTCAGAGTTCAGAGTAAGAGGGGATCATTTATGGTGGAGGTCATCTGGGAAGGCTCCGGGGATACGACACTGCGTGAGAGGTAGCCTGAATCAGGGGCAGAGGCTGACAGGAAGGTCACCTCCAGTAGAGGAGTTCACTTGAGCAAGAATGTGACAAGGGAAGCCACACGGTAAGAAGAAATAGACCAAGGAAGATAGAAAAGATTGTTAAAGGTCATTAAGAGGCCTTGGGTAAATTATATCCAAGCTCTAAGAAAATCTGTAAATGAGGTTTCTAATAGACAGTGATTTTTAAAGAATTGTGAAAAAGTAGGAGAGGTAATTAGACAAATGCTCCTATTTTTAAAGGTGAAATAAGTTAACTTCTGAAATCTATAGTCCAGTGAGTTTGTTTGTTTTTTGTTTTCTGTTTTTTAAGCAGTTTTTGTAAAGCACCTGGAATCAGGTACTGAAGGAGTGGAGAAGGAAGCTGTGACCCCCAGGTTGCACATGGGTTCACTAAGAGCCAGGGGCCCCTGGAGTCATGACTTTCTTTGGTGAAGTTGACATGTAGATTCAGGAAAAAGCAGGCCAACAATGCATACTAGATGCCGGTGTAAGCAGACGTCTTTCTAAATGGTCCAGTAGCTGTACTGAAAATGACGCCAGCTGGGTCACTGTGGAGCACTTTGTCCCCATCTCAGTCCTCTTCCACCTTTGCTTCTGTGCCTTGAATGGAGATACAGAACACAGGCTCATCATGTTCCCGAATGCATAGTGATGGGGAAGTGGCGGAGGTGGGGACAGCAGATTCCAGAACTCCAAAAGACCCATGATGGTTTGAATGATGCCCACGTCTACAAAGATGAAATTCAGCTAGAGTGTATGTAAAATCTTCTAGTTGGGTCAAAAAATTCAAGTGTGAATAGAATAGAAATAAAGCTTAGGAGCAGAGCATGTGAAAGAATTTTAGGGTCTCAGTACATAGCAAAATTTAATGAATTTTGAGTATTCTCTAACTCTCCCACCCCAAATGACTGTGATCTTGGGCTGCATTAACAGAATTAGAGAATAGAAAATGGAAGCAGTAGTAGGGTTGGTTAATCTGATCACATCTGGAATTTTCTATTCAATTTGGAGTAGGACATATTAAGAGAGATATAGAAAAATTATTCTCACACCTAGTGGGGAAGGAAATACATAAAATTAATACATGTTTTGGTAAAATATGTATTTGAAAGGCATCAAAGGCACAATATTCGACTTTGGGAGGTTAAAGCAGGTTCCTCGGAGGCGGCCGAGCAGAGATCCTCAGGCCTGCCCAATGGGGAAGGGGAGTCTCAGGTACACAGGACGTGAGCTAGTGGGCTGCCCTGCAGCTGCGGGGCATGAGGGGAGGGGAGCAGCAAGGCCCCCAAATGCCAGGCACAGGGGGACCAGACTTCCAGGAAAAGGGGGGCTGCATGAGGCTTTGGAGCAGTACGATAGCATGATGAGGTAGGTAAAAGCCCTGTAGTCCCACAGTCTGTGAGTCAACTTGCTGATTAATTCCCAGATGGATTCACTTTGCTCCCCTTTCTCTTTTCTCCTAATCCTCTCATGGACACTTGAAAGTGTTGAGAAAAAGAGGTATGTGTTCTGTCATTGATAGTCCATTCTCTGCTGGGCTGTCAGCCCTGCTGAGGTCCAGAGCTTGGCTCCTCCCTGGATCAGAATGATGAGGCAGATGCCAGTGACTAAACTTTTGAGCAAATACATGAAAGCATTAGCTTGGGGGAAAAGCCTCTTAGTTAGAATGGTTCCTTTTTTTTGCTCAGTGGGGTGTTTCACAGGAAAGGTTTGTGTCGGCTGCCAATGTTGTGAAGGGAAATTGGCGTGCGGTCCCTTCCAGCTTGCTGGGCAATCAGTCAGGAGACGTATTCCTATCAGTGGCTGCAGAATGTCACGTCTGGTTTTCACTTCTAAGGCTTATCACCTCATGCCTCTTTAAAGTGACTTGGAGCATAAAAATGAATATGCAAATAGGGAGGTCAGATAGCACAATGTTAAAGTAAGGGGCACAGTCTTGCCACAGAACTGTCTAGCGTTGTGAAAGAGACAGTCTTACCTCATGACAGTTTTTCAAATATCTAATCCTAGAATGAAAAGCCAGGGAGGTCAGCCCCGCCATGGCCGATACCGCCTCCCCCAGGAGACACATTCACCAAACTTGAAACATGCAGACGAATGCAAAAGACTCACGAACTCGCTGCTCTGCAATAAATGTGCCTCTTCGGAGATCAGAGTCAACACCTTAGAGAACGGCTCACCCTGAAATTGTAGAGTAAGGGACAAGAGGTCCAGTAGAAAGGTCCTCAGCCTTAAATTCTTACTAAGGAAGCGGAGCTTTGGAGGTAAAGGATTAGGCCTCCAGGAGGCCCCCACTGGCGGGTTCATGAAGATACTGTCCCACTCCCACACAGGACTGGTTACTGCAGTGTTTGCTCGTGTTCTGGAAAGCAGAGTGTCCTGAGGGCATGGATGGATTTTGCTGGAGGGAGGGATAAAGAAGCTTCTGCTGGGGTGGGTGTGCAGTGTCAGAGCCTCCATGAGGAGGGCTCTGGGTTGGGTCGGGGTGGAGAGAGCCCTGCACTGTGAAGAGGAGGTATGTGGGCATGGGGCAGGGCAGCTCCATCACCCTCAGTCCACTGAACCATTGTTCTTAAGCCTTGTCATGCTCAGAGGTCGTGCTACTGAATGTTTTCTCACTGTGTCCCTCTACCCAGGACTCTGCCTAGCTCACCATGAGCACAAAGAATTTCTTTTTTAATTTTACGTATAGTATCTTACTTAAATCTTACAGTGGACATTAGGCAATTTTATTTCTGGCCTACCTCAAAACATCAGTGATCTTCCCAGAACCTCAAATCTGATCAGTGACAGACAAGCTTAGATTTAAATCCAGCTTTCTCCAGAGGCCATGCCATTTCTGCGGTATCTGAAATCGGCAAACTTTTTCACCCTCGTGGGATCCCAGCCCGTGAAAGCAGATGACTTCAGAGCTTCCCAGGCTGAAGGTGGGGAGGGGTGGGAGCAGGGCCAGTCCCATCCCAGCAGCCTCCCAGGCCTCCGCCTGGCCTAACACAGCAGAATGGGGAAGAACTGGGAGGCCCCAGGGACTTGAACCCTTTCTTCCAGCTGTCCTGTGTAGGGAATTCATCTCAAAGGGATTCAAGGCATGCTTCCTGTGTCATGTTCTCAATCCTTCGACTCTCTCTGGAAGAGGACAGGGAGTGGCAGTATTAAAAAGTGAGGCCCCACCAAGGCTCCATGAGAGTAAGTTATGGATTCCAGGCTAGTCAGAAAGTCAGTAGCTCAAAAGTGGTTATTGGGTCTCCTGCCCATCCTTTTAATGCATTATTTCCCTGTGTCCACCATTTATGTGCATAAGCAATGTTCTTAATGTTATCTTTTATTTTGAGGATTTAAATAAAAATGCCTCTTGGAGCTCTTAGAGGGGAGGTGAAGTATAGGCTTGGATCATTTTTCTTCATAATAAAAAATTGTAAATATCAGATCTAGTGGAAATGAATTTCTTCAAACAGCTTCCCCTAATATGTGCCTGTGGTTGTATATTTGGTTTCAGGTATGTCCCAGATTTGAATGGCACAGCAGCAAAAAGGAATTCCCCCTTTTTACGAAGGAATCTCCCTAAGACTTTTTAAATTTCAGATCAGATTTGAAACAGAAACTAACAGGGTAAATAATTTAAACTGAACCAAATTAATCTCTAGTTCAGTTTAAGAAACAGCTGCATTCATTTCATGACTGTGTGCCCAGAGAATACATACAGGAGTACAAGGGAAGAATTGCTCTTTGGAAATCTTAATTCCCCCGCCAAGCACAGGCTTGGTTAGAAGATGCTTGTTGATGTAAACAGAATTTACTTCTCTGAGATACCACTTATGTGTTTTTGTTGTTCAAGAGTGTTTTCAGGCAGCTCATCTGTGCAAAATAAAGGGCCCTTCCTTCCCTCCTGTGCCTGGAGCTCTTCAGCCTTTTAGAGAATCTCATTTTACTTCTGTGTTTTCTGGGGAAAACAATGACTCCTTAACCAAGGCTAATAACAGAGTGGGAAGAGGTTCTGGCCATGTGCCAAACGATTATAAGCAGCAACTCTGAACGGCTTCCTGACATCAACATCTACCAGCTGAAGGTCCTGGACTGCGCCATGGATGCCTGCATCAACCTTGGTCTGTTGGAGGAGGCCTTGTTCTACGGCATTCGGACCATGGAGCCCTACAGGTAAGTCCCTGCTGACTGAACAGAAGGCTGTAGTGTTTCCAGTTTGGGCAAAGGTTGGATGTGAGGGGGTCATGGAGCTTATTACTTTCTGCTGAATGTTCCCATCTGCTCCTCCATCAGCAGATACAAAGGTTTTGTAAAATCAAACCTTGTTTTGTTCATTTTGCTCTGTGTGCATTTATTTGTGGCTGGTAAAGTTCCTTTCATGTGTCAGGCCCTGTGGGTGTGCAGAGACTCGAGATGGTGTCTCCACGTGGAGCCGATGTAGCCGGTGCTTATGACACAGCACGCCACTTGCAGTGACAGGACCAGGCTCGGGGCGTGGGGGTCAGGAGGCGCGTGCACAGCTCAGCCTGGCTTGGAGAGGCTGTGTCACTAGCCTCTGCTGATCCGGGAGAGGATGCCCAGGGTGGGGACCTCAGTCTGGCTGACTGATGATGGTCTCTTCTGTCAGTCAGGGCTTCAGGGTTCCCAGGGGGCCTTCACTTGAATCATTGGACCTCATGACCACCTTATGACCCAAGGAGGACAGCAGAAAGTCAGCCCTGCAAAACAAGCCACTGAGTCAGAAGGAACTGTGGTAATTCATTGTTTCTTGACTGGCCTCAACTCCTCCCAACCCATGGTGTCTTGACCCTAGATGCTCTTGCAGTTCAGGGGAGCATTGGCTGCATGGAAGCCTGGTGTTTAGAGTTTGGTGCTGGTGGGTGTGGATCCCTGGTTTGTATGGGGGGCTAAGAACATGAGTTTGGAAGTTGAGGCAGATCAGTCCAAGGGGAAGAACGCACAGATACATGTACCATCATCTGAGGTCAGAGTAACCTTTGCCAGCAGGAAACTAGGTCACTCAGTGCTGGGAAGGTGCCCCGAAAGCATCCGGGACACGGAGAGGGCTGGAGAGGTCTCAGAGAGAAGGAGTGCTGTGCTGGATAGTTCTGAAGATCCTGCAGACATGCCAGCCCAGTGGAGTGGAGCAGTGGGAGGATCCAGGTGGAGGAGAGGTGCAGGCAGACGATTGGTGCAGGTGGAGGAGGGGTGCAGGTAGATGATAGGTGCAGGCGCAGGAGGGGTGCAGGTGGAGAGGCGCAGGTGCAGGAGGGGTGCAGGTGGAGGAGAGGTGCAGGTGTAGGAGGGGTACGGGCAGAGGAGAGGTGCAGGTACAGGAGGGGTGCAGGCGGAGGAGAGGTGGAGATGCAGGAGGGGAGGAGGCAGAGCCCAGGGCACTGCCTGTTCCCACTTGAGGAAGAGCCTCAGGAGATGACTGAGAGGGGAGTTACCAGAATCCACATGATAAGAACAGGAACAAGTCCAGGGTCTAGGATACCAGTTCAGGCAAAGGTAGCAAGCTGGACATGCGACCCTTGGTCAGGAAGCCAAGTCTGGGCCAAGAGTGTGGTGCAAGCAGAAAGGAGCTTCCAGATGGCAAAGACCCCACCAGCCAGGGGGATGACAGGGGTTCCTAGGCCAGCTGTGCACCAGGGTGACCCTGAGGGTGTTCTCAGAACTTCGGTAGGTGGTGTCTGCCACTGCCTTGTGGTTGAACAGCTTTGGAATCCAGACTGTGAGTCAGCTTTTAATCAAACCTGTAAGAGATTGCCTTTAGGGCTGAGACTGTAGACTTTCCCATGAGCATGAAATGTCTCTTTGGTATGATGAATCTTGTGGGTTCTCAGAAAGTATGAATTGAACACAAAAAGATAAGGCTTCATTTTCTGAGCCTCAGTGTTGCAGTGAGGGGCAGGTCAGGGATGGTTGGTGTTACCTCTGCGCTCCACAGCCGGGTCTCAGGAAGCCAAACCATGGGCTGCAGGGGGAGTGGAGGCCTCCAGGCTGCTCAGCACAGGAGCCTGGCATTGGCCCCTCCACTGCATAAAGAAGGCCACATGCACTTTGAGGGTGCTCGTTTTGCACAAATTTGTGAATCCTCTCTCCATACCTATCAAAGCTCCTCTGAAGAACTAACATTCCTTAATTGACTGGCAGTTTCACCTACTTAAGCTTAAGTCAAACAAAGAGGCCTTTCTTGTGAGGCTCAGGTCACCCACATATATTCCGTGTTCTTAGGAATACAGTTCGGATTCTCTTGGTATTTGGCAGGTCACAATCTTTCTGTGAATGTACACTCTGTAGGCTGGGTGACACTTTTCCAAGCCTCCCTTGGTTTCTCTTCCCTGGAGCTTATGGAGTTGCTCTGTGGTGTTCTGTATTTCAGGAAATCCAGTCTGCATTGATCCACTTCAAGCAAATGAGGTCTGAACCATTTGCTTTCAAAGGTGTAGTGGAAGGAAAGGCTATAAGTAAGCCAGACCCCACAAAGTAAAACGAAAGGAGAGGGGTGGGTGCTGGCATGCTCCCTTTTCCCCTTCAGCTCAGGGAAAAGAGGAAAGAAGGAGCAAATGGGTGAGATGCCCTGCAAGCCCCTACCAGTCTTAAGATGGGAGGCAGGAATGGGGATTGGCAGTGGTTTCTGCCCCCCAGGTATGCAGGAGGAAATTCACACCATGGGCACCGGCATCGGCAAGGTCTCCCCCAAATGCCTTCGGTGTGCCCTGTGTTTCCCCTTCCGCCAAGGACACAGGCAGTTAGCTAGCTTTGGGTTGCCATCTGTTGTAACAGTTTTACAGCATTAATATACTGTTGGCAACAAGGAGATTGAGGTCTAGTCTCTAGATGGCTTTGTCACTCCTGACCTCAGCTGACTGCATTGCAGCTCAGAGAGGCTGGTGGCGTGTCCCATTTGTATCCACATCTCTGTGTTGCCCCAGCTCCCTTGTTGCTCTGTTATTTTTACTCAATACAAGTAAGTTCTTTTCATGATGCAACATAATAACATGTTCTTTATGTTTCATAAAGCAAGTTGGAATTCACATACAGCAAAATTTACAGTCTTTAGCTCATGATAGTTCTTAGAGTATCTGGGTGTGTATTTGTGATAATGTGTGCATGGCATCTGTACTTCAGCATTATATACATTAAACAGAATGAAAGTAATTTTAACAGTATTTCATACATGTTATTAAAAAATTTAATTCAATCAAATCGTAACCATAAGATGAACTGGGTTCCAAAAGTTGGTTTGCCAACTGGCAGTTTAGAACTTGGACAGCATTTTGGTATTGAAGAAGGTATTGAGGATTATGGTGAGGTTACCAGCCTAGCCCTGGGAAGGCTGCTCAGCCCACAATATCACCAATGTATACATTTCTTGAAAAAACTATAAAAGGAGAAAGAAATACAAAACCAAAATTGAACATAGCTTGAAAATTAAGATTTAAATTATGTTGAGTACAAATTAAAGCTGATTTTCTTTAGGAGTCAGAGGATGATAGGGAGAGACAGAGGCTCTTTAAGGCCTTGAGGAGAACTTTCCTATATTCACACAAGTCCTGTTAATTTCTGTTGGCAGACTAGTGTATACTTCTAGGAAAGGACGTTTACAAAAGAAGACAAAGGTGAAAATCACCTTCATCGTTCAGACTCTTTTCCTGCTCCCTAAAGAGACCCGGGGCATGCTTCTTTCCTGAGCCCCTGGTGCTGCCCGCCCGCCACCATGAACAGTAGGCCCCTGGGCTCCTCGGCCCGCGCTTTGGCACTGTTTCCCGGCCGCTCTCACCCCCTGGAGGCCCTCCTCCTCCCCTTCCGCGCTCCTCCCCTCAGCAGCGCCCCATGGGCTCTGCTGCTGCTCCTCTTGCCTGCCTCTCCTCTGCTCATCTGGCTGGGGAGATTCTTGATCCGTTGAACATGCCCAGTAAGGTGTAGGGAGGGAGGCGCGTGAGAAAGAGGGAAGGGGCGGAGAAGCCATGAACGCTCCTCAGTGGGCAGAGGGAAGAAAAAAATAGGATCATCTCTACCCTGTGTTCTACAACCTACTTTTTTCACTTTACAACAAAGTGTGGACATCTGTCAAGGTCAGCTCCTGAGTGTCTACCTCATTCTTTTTAACACATGCATGGTGTTTCATCTATGAATATGCCACAACTTGTAGATCAGTCTTCTGTTCCCATTTGTGTTTTACTATGTCAAACAATGCTGTGATTAGCATCCATGTGCTGTGTCTTTGTGTCCGGATGTGACTGAATCCATTAGGTAAGTCTACATGGTAAATTCCCAAGTGCTAACTAGCTACATCCAAAGTTAGCTTCCTTTTCAATGTAGGAAACTCTCCCCAAATTGTGTCCCCCGTCCACCAAAATGCCACTCTTTTCTGAAAAGAACTGGGCATGGATGGCATGGCTTTTATAACATCTGCTCTAAATTCAGTTCAAAATATATAAGGGCCTTTTCCTTTTCCTTGATCAAGGCCTGCTCTTATAGGGTGAGATTTGCTGGTATTGATTTTGTTGTCTTCAAAGAGTATTTTTGTGGTAGTGGGATGACATTTTTATGAGTTTCCTGGAAAAGAAAGAGGAAGGGACCCTGGGTGATGTGAGTGCAAGCATGATGGGGGGCAGAGGTGCAATAAAATCCCCCCAGGGAGAAGAGAGCTGGAACGAACGCACTTTCAGCTCAGTTTCCTGCACTTCGTTGTCAGAAGGCACCATGGAAGAGAAGTCAGATGCAGCTGGTAGTTTGTGTACATGACACATTTACAAGTCAGGTGTTTATAACTCAGAGATGCCAGTAATTACAGAGCAGCCTTACCCATCTTTATTCGGCAGTGATTTTTTAACTTTTCCCTCGGGAAGTTGATAAAATAAAAGGCTCAATCCCAGCAGTATCTTCCGCTGCTGTTTCCAAGCTCCCTTTCTTCTGCAGACCTGCAGCTGCTCTGCTGTGGATCTTTGTCGTCAGTCGGTGTGATGTTCCCTTCCAGAGCGAGTGGGTGTGGTTCCAGCAGGTGGCCCGCTCACCCAGCACTGACCTGGCCTGCCTCTGTCGTCTCTCCAGGTGGCACACAGTGGCTAGGCTGCTCTCCGGGGGTGCTGGTGTCAGTGGACGTGCCCCATTCCTAGAGGGCAGGGTCCATGGCCGGGGTGCCCAGTGTCACAGCCACAGAGCAG